CTTTTTTCTTTTTGCTTATGTGGTGCTGAGGAATCGAACCCAGGGCCTCATGCATGCAAGGCAAGTGCTCTACCACTGAGCCACCTTCCCAGCCCCTCTCAATCTTTCTTTACCCATTCATGTTATTGACATAGACTTATGATTCTCTGAAAATACTAGCCACAGGGCCTTTCCACTTGTTTTCCAGTTTCCTCCAATTCTTGTGTTAGTGCTCCGTTTATTCTGAACTCCAGACAAAGTAATTCACACTTTTATCTGAGTCACCAATGTATCTTATATATGGTTCTTATTATACCATACTGCAGTGATATGATTACAGGTCTCAGTATTCTGTACTGGATCGAGAGCTCCCTTCTCAGAGTGGTTTAAGTCTTAGTTTCAAAACACAGTTACTTCAATAGCTTACAATTGTTTTGTAGTCTTGGTGAAGGATTTTAATAACTTAATAGTATTCTTTGAATGAATAAATAAGTTAAATTCTATCTTAATCCCTTTTAGTTTTCCATTGTCAGCTAAAATCTCCATAGAAACCCTAAAGCCTTTTTTGACTCTTCTGGTTCTCCCAGCCTGATGGTATATGCTATAAGAATTCAGGATGGACCAGGCATGGTGGCTCAAATCCTTGAATCCTAGCTACTCAGGAGGCTGAGATCTGAGGATTGCAACTCAAAGCCAGCCAAGGCTGGAAAGGCCATGAGACTCTAATCTCCAATAAACCACTCAGAAAACTGGAAGTGGTGCTGTGACTCAAGTGGTAGAGTGCTTGCCTTAGCTGAAGAGCTGAGAGATAGTGCCCAGGCCCAGAGTTCAAGCCCCATGACCGACCAAAAACAAAAAACAACAACAAAAAATCCTCCTACATAAAATTAATATTGTTACATGGGAGCTACATATATTTCACTTAAATTTTTTCTTTCTTTTACTTTTAAATTTATAGATTTGTATTTTTATTTTGTTGTGTGTCTATAGAAGGGCAGGCATGAGCCCCATGTTCTTTAGTTTCAACCCCTTCCTACCTCTTAGGCCAACTAACTCACTCCTGATTTAAATCAGATTTAAGCAGCTTTCTCCCCACCATACTCTGTCTCTTTTTCTTTCTCTTTCTCTTCATTTCCCTCCTCATCTTCCTTCTTCTAGGACTTGAACTCAGGGTCTCACACTTTCACTTGGCTTTTTCGTTTAAGACTGGTACTCTACCACTTGAGCCAGAGTATAAAGTTTGTAAAGTTTTACTTGGTTGATAAGGTAACTTTTGAGTGGCTATCCAATTACCTTGTTTGGGGTGGGGGATGAGTACTTTATAGTGCCCTAGGTGATGTTGTTCAGTGGTGCACTGAATTCATTCTTATATTCAAGATTGTCATGGTTGAAAAATGGGAAGGATAAAAAACTAGCCTAGGGCTGGGAATGTGACTTAGTGGTAGAGTGCTTGTCTAGCATACAGGAGGTCCTGGGTTCAATTTCTCAGTACCACATACACAGAAACCAGAAGTGGTGCTGTGGCTCAAAGTGGTAGAGTGCTAGCCTTGAGCAAAAAGAAGCTCAGGGACAGCACCCAGACCCTGAGTTCAGTTCCCAGGACTGGTAAAACAAAACAAAACAAAAACAAAAAAAGCCAAAACTTGTCTATTTCCAAAAACTAGTATGTTGGGCAAGGATAAATTAGTTACACACACACACACACACACACACACACACACATGCTGTAATGTGAGTGCTCACCAGCTCACTTAGATTGACCAGATGTCATAAAGTGCTCTTGGAAAAACATCTCACAAGCATTACTGACCAGGGTCGCAGCAAGGGTCATCAGTTACATTTAGAGTAGAAGGGCCAGGCACTGCCCAATGTTCTTTAGTTCCAACTTTTTTTTATTGTTGTTAAGGGTGAACTCTGAGGCCTGGGCGCTGTCCCTCAGCTCTTCAGCTCAAGGCTAGCGCTCTACCACTTGAGCCACAGCGCCACTTCTGGTTTTCTGGTGGTTTACTGGAAATAAGAAGTCTCACGGGCTTTCCTTCCCGGGCTGGCTTTGAACCATGATCCTCAGATTTCAGTCTCCTGAGTAGCTAGGATTACAGGCATGAGCCACCGGTGCCCAGCCCAACTGTTTTTGTTGTTGTTGTTTTAACACTGCAAAAGTTCTTCCTCTTCCTCTCATAAAGGAGGAGAACCATCGTCAAGGACAAATGGTGGCTTGTAGTAAAGGCAGCAGAGAGCCAGCTTCACATTCAGGAGAGGATGCCACAGGTTCCTCTCATGATTTCTGGTGTTTTACATGTTCAGAAAAACATCTCTAGTATTGAACTATATTCAACATTCCCAAGTGAGTAGTTATGGGCCAGAAGCCATGCTTGCTGTTCAAGATCCAAAGGCAAAACCAGCAGAGCTCTCTCCCTTCAAGAATGTCAGTTGTATAATCTGACATAGTAAAGGTCTATTCAGTTGAAGAAATAACATGTGATATGCTTTTCATTGGGTTAAAAAGTAAAATTCAATATGAAAAAGGGGCTGGAGGTATGGCTCAGTGGTAGGGTATCTGCCTAGCAGGTGGGAGGCCCCCAAGTTCAAAACCCAGTACTGCCAGAAATATTCAATATATGAATATTCTCTGAGTTAGAATCCCTTGAATTGACATGCATGTATAAGTAAAAATACTACCATTTATATTATTATTGTTCTGTAAAATAAATATGTAAGAAATAAAAATAAGGTCCTGTTTACACACAGAGAAAACATACTAAACAGTAATGAAGTTATATTCTAATAGCAATTGGATGATTACAGAAGCACAATTACAGTCCTCTTAGAGGACTATAAACATCAGTACTTCTCTATAAAAGAAATATATTTTTTGCCGGGAACTGGTGGCTCATGTCTGTAATCCCAGCTACTCAGGTGGCTGAGATCTGAGGATCACAGTTCAAAACCAGCCCAGGCAGGAAAGACCATGAGACTCTTATCTCCAATGAACCGCCAGAAAACCACAAGTGACAGTGGCTCAAGTGCTCGCCTTGAGCTGAAGAGCTCAGGGACAGTGCCCAAGCCCAGAGTTCAAGCCCCACAACAGACTAAAAAGAAAAAAAAAAAGAGAGAGAGATACATTCTAGTCACATTATTCACACACTATTGCAACAGAACTTAGAGGTAGCAAATATCACCTTAAGATTGTTTCAGGTTTTGTGGGATCATAAATATAAAAGAGATCCTTACAAGTATAGGACAGAGCTGGAGGTAAAAAAAAAATATCTGTCTAGCAAGCACAAGACATAGAATTAAATACTCTAATACTGCTTAAATAAAATTTAAATATAAATGTATACATATATGTGTGTGTTTATACATACATACATGCACACACACACACAACTTATTCAAATCAGAAGCTCTGAAGTTTATACTTCATTTGCTTCACAAGAAGCTTGCTTATGATAGACATATAAAAGATAAATACCCCTCTTCTTATCATGGACATTGGGGAAAGACTGGGGAAACAGGGAGAGCTAATAATAAGTTTAAAATAAACACGTGTAAAATCAGACTTTAATTACAGCCTTCGTCCATCTATATCTGTCTTTATGTTTGTTTGATCTTGAAGATTCAAAAAATATCAGACAGTCAAGAGCCAGTGGCTCACATCTGCAAGTCTAGCTCCTCAGGAGGCTGATCTGAGGATGGAGCTTGCTGAGGCCAGTTCAGAAAGACAAATTCAAGACACTCTTTATCTCCAATTAATCACCAAAATGCTAAAAGTGGAGGCGTAGCTCAAGTGGTAAAGCACCAATCTACCAGTGAAACACAGTCAAGTCAAAGTATGAGGCCGTGAGTTCAAGCCCCCCAGTACTGCCATCTCCCCTTCCTCCCTCCCTTCACCCTGAGCCCTAGCAAACATCAAAATTACACCCCTGGCTCATCTATTGTGTTTGCAGTGAACAGAGATGCTCTGGACACTGGCTGCTTTTCTGGAAGGGGGCACGGGGTTGTGAAAACAACCTACTTCAAAGGTCATACTTAGGAGAGGCGAATGGGACGCAGTTTGCCAAACATGACGCAGGGGGACATTTTCCTTCGTTTATGCATTTTACCTTACTTGAGGTGGAGGAATTCCTACCACTATGCAATCCAACTGGACTCGGGTTCCTTCGGGGACTTCTCTGCTCCGTAACTTCTGCGTGAAGCGGGGAGGCTGCCCCAGGGGCTCCTCGTAGTACAGCGAAGAAGGCGAAGACCCCGGGCTGGCGTCGCCCCCCGCGGCCTGCTGCTGCGCGGCCTGCTGGGCCTCGCGCCTCTTGGCTTCCTGCTGCTCCAGAGCGTGGTTGACTTCGTTGTCCCTGGCGTCGGTGGGGATGGGGATGGGGGCGGATGCTCGCTCTCTTCTCTCCGACAGCTCGGAGAGGCTGGGGCCGCCTTCCGTGGGGGGCGCTTTGCCTGGAGATTCCAGTTTGCTCTTGTGGTTCTTGCAGGCCCGAGGTCTGATCCGTTTGGAGCTGTGTGCCTTGAAGAGGGAGGAAAGCTCCTCGATGAAATCGGCCGCCTTATTCAGGAATACTTTCTTCGACTGGGTTTCGGAGCTGTACGGCGGCCGCTTTGTCTCCTGGGGACTCTCTCTCGGACTGCTCGGCCTCTGAGCCTTCTCCTGGCAGAAGTTGGGCTCAAAGTTAGACTTCGGGGGGTGTCTCAGCTGCTCGGAAGATAGGCGCTTTCTAGCCTGAGCTTCATCGGCTTTCTCCAAAGGGTCGTGATTGATGGCCAGTCTGGCCAGATTGACGCTTTCATCTAATTCTTCCTGGCTCAGAAAAGCGGAAAGATCTGGAAGGTCATCTTGGCTTCCTCCTCCTTCAGCAGCCCCCGAAGGACTACCAAAATGGAAAGGGTTGGAGGAAGGCTCTGCTCGACTCCTCTCGTTGTTTCCCCGATGTCTAGTTTCAGCCAGGTAGCTTTCTCTTAGAAGTTGAGATATGGATGTAGAAGCTTCTAGGCTGTCGTCTTGCATGCTGTAACAAAATAGGAGGATCGTGAGTAGAAGGGCAGCCTGGGCTACATAGCAAGATCTTTTCTCAAAAAAAAAGGGGGGGGGGTCAAGAAACTGGTGGTTCACATTTATAATCCTAGCTATCCAGGAGACTGAGATCGAGGGATCACGGTTCAAAGTCAGCCTAGGCAGAAAAATCCTCGGGACTGTTATCGCCACTGATTTGAATTGCCTTTCCTGAGTTTTGAATTTTAGTACACGAGTGTATTGCCTATTCAAAAGTGAATAGTTTTAAATTCTTAATAAAAGAAGCAAGGCGAATTTATACTATTAATATCATGCCCATGTATTCATTCAAACATTTACTAGAAGGATGGCAAACTTGTGAGTCATAGCTGTTAATTCTCCCTCTCCAAATAGATGCAGCTAGGTGATTACAGTATTCTTCCCATTGACCTTGACTTGCTTCACACTCCACCCCTTCAATCAGAGACCATAAGGGAATGAAGGCTGTCTGGCATTGTTTGTTAGTACCAGTTGGGCCTTGTGCTGGAGAGATGGAGAGGAAAGAAATCTAAAACCCTCTGGCTTTAAGATTCTGTGGCATATGGAAATATAATGAAAGTCCTTTGTAGCATTAATGATGCTATGGCAAAACCTGTGTTAGTCCATTCACCTTTTTTTTCCTGACATGAAAGCATCACTTGCATCACATGTAAGGCTTCTTAAGGGCTTCCTTAATTCCCAAATGTCGATGGTCCTATCCCAAACTAACCTCCACTTGGCAAAGTAGGCAGTCACCTTGAGAGGGCAATTAGAGCTGACTGCAAGGATCACTTACAACAAAGTATTTTTTTCCACATGCTTGCCAGTGCTTGAAACTGTTCCCAATGGAGCCATTTATTTGGATAAAGTCTATAGTGTTTTGTTTTTAAAAGATTAATTAAAGGATTGGTCATGGTGGCTCATGTCTGTAATCCCAGCTACTCAGGAAGTAGAGAACTTCCTGGGAAAAAACAAACCTTATCCAAAAAAAAAAAAACAACCAATGTCAAAAAAGGAATAGGGCATGCTCAAATGATAGAGTGCTTAACTAGCAAGGGCAAAGCCCTGAGTTCAAATCCCAGTACTAGGGAGAAAAAAAGTGTTGAGAAGGCAAAGAAATTGGATAAAGACAAATACTTGTTTGCAGAGATATTCATTATGGTATGGATAATAGTATAAGAAAAAACTGTAACTATGTCTAATAGTAAAAAAAAACCATGACTTCAATTATTATATGCTCATTAACTAGAACATTATGGCTATTTAAAATTTTGTAGAATGATGAATAGTATGCAAAAACGTATATAAAAGTGAATTGATATCTCAATTGAAATATTTCCTTATTTGTGTATCAACTAGGTGGAAAAGAAATATATGAAGTAAAGGTCAAAATGCTTCCAATTTGAAAGTGTAATTGATACACTGATTACAACCAGCAACTGTGGCAACCATTTCTTCAGCTTACTTGAAGCTTCTAGATATACTTGGGTGTAAGGATAAAAATTAAATTGCTTTCTAAGTCAGAACAGGTTTCTTTGTATTCATTGGACATTGTGATGTGACTTTCTCTCAAATTGTTTCATGATTGGGTCATCTCTTGACATCATGAACATTGGCCTTGGCACTAGAAATATCTGATTTCAAAGTCTGGCTTCATCTCTGAGCAGCTGTATGAGAGATTTACTTAGTTTCTTTGAGTTTTAGTTTCCTCATTTGTAAAACACAGGTAATATCTATTTTTCAGGGGAATATATCATGAAGGCAAAGCTCTTCAAGGTTTATATGTATGGTAGAAATGAATAAAATAATATTTATATAAGAAGTCACTGCTTTCTGTGTCTAGAAAAGCCAATTGTGTCAATGTGTGCTTCTTCTTAGGTTTATGGTTATGAGAAATTATTATAACAAAATTTCCAAACACTCAAAATATAGTGTTTCTTTCATATTTTAGTGTTTTAAGACCTTACACTTTGATGGTAGATACAACTGGCTTAAATCCTAGTTTTGACGCTTCCTACCTGTATAAACTTGAGGAAGTCTGAGCTCTATAAGCTTCAGTTTCCTCATCTATAAAACAGTGATAATGACAGTAGCCATCTCATAGGTTCATACTGATTAAATGTGCTTGGCATTCAGTAAGCATTCAGTAAATGGTAGTTACAGCTATTCTTATTATATGACAACTTCAGCTATATATGGTCTCCTTTTTTTTTTTTTTTTGTCAGTCGTGGGGCTTGAACTCTGGGCCTGAGTACTGTCCCTCAGATCTTCAGCTCAAGGCTAGTACTCTACCACTTGAGCCACAGAGCCACTTCAGGCTTTTTGGTGGTTTCTTGGAGCTAAGAGTCTTGGAGATAAGGCCTTTCCTGCCTGGGCTGGCTTTGAACTGCGATCCTCAAATCTCAGCCTCCTGAGTAGCTAGGAGTATATGTGTGAGCCACGGGCACTTGGCTTGTGGTCTCCATTTTATAGTTAAGAAATAATAGTACTGATGAAATAATTTCTTTTTAAGGAAAAACTTTGAAGAGAAACGGAACCCTAGATTTGTAGTTAGTTAAACATATCTATATTCAGGGTCTTGATTTTTCTCTGCAGGCACTCTACCTCTTGAACCAGCCCCTGATGGTTTAGATTGTATTTATTGGTTCTTCTAACAGTTATTATTTTTTTTCCAGCACTAAGGTTCAAACCTAGGATCTTTCACATGCTAGGGTAAGTATTCTACCACTGAGCTACCTTCTAACCTTCTCTCCGTAAATATTAATAGCCATCTTATGTGTACCAAGCAGCAATCAAGGCCCTAGACTGAGTAGTGAGGAAAATGATATCTTAAAGAAGTAACATTCTAAGGAAGAAGCTTATGTTATGAAGAAAAATTAGAGCAACATAAGACAGAATGACGGGCGGGGGGAGAAAACTTTTTGTTTTGGTTAGGAGGTCAAATAATACTTCTTATATGGAGAATTACCATGTGACCAACCAAGGAATTCATAAGGAAGATCTGTCAAGGCCTAGAAAGATGAGTGTTTGGTGTGTTCAAGTCAAATCCATTGTGCCAGGTGAGTGAGTCAAATGAGAAGTGGAAGTTGGTGAGGTTAGAAGTGTGCAGGCTCAGGTCATGTCAGGCCTTGCTAACCCTGGAAAGGATTCCACATTTCCTTACACTTATAAAATACAAACTCATACCAAGGTTTTTGAGAAACAACTTATTTTTGTTGTTATTTTTTGGTTGTTTAGTGAAAAGTGTTTAGTGAAAAGAGGCTTTTTTTTTTTAAGAAGAGATCCATCGCGTAGGCAATTCAGGAAAGAAAACTAAATTGCTTGAATGAGAGTCCAGAGTAAAGGCTCACTGCCTGATGAAATGGTTTTAAAAATGTTCAAGCACAGCTGCAATGCAAAGAATTTGGTTGAAAAGGGTAAGGGTTGAAGTGAGCAGACCAGCTAAGAGGCCTTACAACAAAGAGATGGTGGTAGTGTAGACCAGGGCATGGTAGCATCAGGAAATGGTAAGAAAGGATCAGATTGGAGAGATCGTTTGGAAATAGAGCCAAATGATTTGTTGATAGTTTGAAAGTGAGCTACAGGAAAAAGAGCAGAATCAATGGTGACTCTCACATTTATGACCTGAGCAACTGGGTGATGGGTGGAACATTAGTAGGATGAAACAGCGGATGGTTTCAGAAAAGAAAACCGTGAATGCTCTTGGACAGTTTATCTGGAGTGCTCAGACTGACAACTGCCCTTGTTCTCTCTGTCCTTACAAAATTGAAATGTAGATGTTATGCCACTTTCAAAATGAGATTAAGTAATTGCCCTTGAAAAGAAATCTGGTGTTGCTGAAATGATACTAGGTTGGAAATGAAATGTGTCATCATTCATTAAGACTTTCTTAACCACAGTGCTGATGGCTTACTGCAATTTCTGCTATTCGAGGCTGAGATCTGAGGATCGAGGTTTAAAGCCAGCCAGAGAAGACAAATCTGGGAGATTTTTTTTATCTTTAGTTAACTAGCAAAAAGCTGGATGTGAAAATGTGGCTCAAGTGGTAGAATACCAGCCTTGAGCAGAAAAAGCTAAGCAAGAGCATGAATTCAAGCCCCACTACTGGCACAAACATGAAGAGAGTAGGTCTTAAGTGTGTTCTCATCACACACAAAAAAAGTATGTGAGGTGATGATATTTTAATTAGCTTGCTTTAATAAATTCACATGGTATGCATATACCAAAACATTATATTGTAGCCAATATAATGTGTAAAATATTTGTCAATTAAACCTTAATAAAGCAATAAAAAAGAAACATCTTTTATATATGTCTTTAAACATTGCTGCTATATATAATTACAGTGCCAAAACACATCCATTATATACAAAAAGCAACATCAACTGAAAAGGACTATAAAACCCAAATCTAGTTTCTTAGGTTGACACAAAAAATAGCTTAATGTTTAATAACTATTTGTGAAGAGAGACAACCAGAATAGGAAAAAATAAGCATGTTTAAATAACCTACCTTTAGCTGGGGCTGAACAGAATTACTCTGCTTACTCCTGAAGTTTGTAGTGAAAATACATTTCTTTCTGTCAGTCCTGGGACTTGAACTAAGGGCCTGGGTACTGTCCCTGAGGGTCTTTTGCTCCAGGATAGCACTCTACCACTTAAGCCACAGTGCTACTTTCTTTTTCTATTTATGTGGTACTGAGGAATAGAACCCAGGGCTTCATACATGCTAGGCAAGCATTCTACCATTAAGCCACATTCCCAGTCCTGTGAAAAACACTAAAAAAAAAAAAAAGTAAGCTGGGCACTGGTGGCTTATGCCTATAATCCTAGCTACTCAAGAGGTTGAGATCTGAAGATCCTGTTTCAAAGCCAGCCTGGGCAAGAAAGTCCATGAGGCTCTTATCTCCAATAAACTATCAGAAAAAGCCAGAAGTAGCACTATGGCTCAAGTGTTAGAGGGCTAGCCTCGAGTAC